GCGGGAGCCCGCGCTGCGGGGCCGGGTCCTGGCTGAGCCCGGGGCCAGCGGGGAACGGCCGGGCGAAGGGACAGGCCTTGGGGGCCAGGGCTGCGTCCGAGCTCCTCGAAAAGCTGGGAAGGGGGAGGAGGATCCGGCAGGAGAGCCTGCGGCAGCGAGCCCCAAGACGTTCCCTGAAACTGCGACGCAAGGCCAAGAAAAACCAAAGAAAAATCTCAAGTCAGCGAACCGCGAGGGGTAAAACCAGGGAACCTGCACACAAGAGGCGACGTTCAGAGCTCGCCTTCGTATTAATGCCTATGAATGACTTCAAAAGTGCACACGTCATTTTCCCCGATTCCCAGCACCCCCTTTTGTCAGCTCACAGCAGTGCTGGACTTCCTTCCCTCGCTATCAGCAATTAGAGGGCCATGCACCGAGACAGTAAATTCACTTAATTGCAGGGCTGTTTTCAACACGCTGCAGCAGCTCTCGGTTATAGATGTATAAAGCACTAAAAACCTCATTTCCTCTTACAGAAAAGTTTGTCCAAAATAGTGTCAGCAACAGCAGTGAGACTGCCCTCCCTCCTCCCCTTTCCAACCCAGCCAGCTCCGCCTCACAATCCCCTGTCCTCAAGCTGTAGCATTAATGTAAGACCCTGAGACACCACACAGCAAATTCAGTCCTGTGTTTGGCCGCATCATGCCCAGTGAACCTCTAAAATGTCATCCTCTACTGTCAAGTTTGTAAGACAGTTGAAAAAACATAATTTAAGAGGATTACAGAAAGAGACTCATGGCCAGAAATAACATACTTCAAAAGTCTGATAAAATACTAAACACATACAGTGCACAGAATTAACATGTTCATTTAAAACCATGAACAAATCTAAGTAAGTGTTAAAGATCAGTGGAAGAGACAGAAGTACAATGGTCATTAGATGCATGTTTTCATCTTTCTAATGTTGGTTGAAACATTCCTTTATGGGGAACAAGTCCTTGGTTTTCTTAAAAGTAAAAAAAGGTATAAAAAGCTTTTTAATTTAGTGGAAGTATTTTTTACATAGTCAACATCAATACACAAGAATGAATATTTAATTGCTAACCAGACACACCTTATCAAGACTTTCTAAAGGAGAAGACACAACAATGGGTTGAATTTTAGCAGTTCTTTAATGGTGTCAAATAGGAAACCATCTATTCTTGCATCTTTTCGATTGTTTCTTCCTTGTATTTGCCCTTCTCCTTGCCAACCTGGCGAGATTTTGCTTTACGCTCCAAGATCTTTTTGCGATCTTTGTCCAGTTTTAGCCTAGTGATCACCACCTAGAGAAAGGACAAAGAATTTAGTGTCTCTTCAGTGTGAAAGTACAACAACCTGACAGAACTGTGGTAACATAGCACAGCCCAGGAAGATCACCGCTGACAGACTGCACCAAATCACCCACGTTTTATTTCCACAGATGATCTAATTTGGTTTGAGTAGAACAGAGGTACTGAATTGCTTTCTGTATTTCAAAACACTGAGCTATATTAATTTTTCCGGGTACATTCAGGGATCAGAACATACAGGCAGTTTTTTCAATGCACAGCCACAACATTTGGACAAACTGAAGAGCAGCCAAATTTCTATCCATCTGCGTAATAAAATAATTACTTTGAAGTAAATCTAATTTCCATTACACTGCTCAAACATGATGGATACTACATCCACTTAAAACACAGCATACAGATGAGACTTCTTCCCATCACCACAAAGGCAAGTAATGGATCATTATTTTAATATCTCCATGTTTTAAGCAATACTACCTAAATTTCAGAACACTAGAGAACCATGCTGCTGCCACTGGCCATTATCATATCATTGCTGTACCATCTGGACTAGCCAATACATCTGGCTAAATTACAGGCAACAGTAAAAGTTCATGCACCATGGTGACTCATATAAAGACACTTGAAAGAACATATCTGCTATTGAACAGTTGCGAAGTGGCCCGGCAATTATCAAGTATTACTAACAAGGACACACGAAAGGTAAATTGCGCAGACCATTTGCTGCCACAACCCTAGCAGTATTTCTAACAAAGCAGCAGCGAACTGCAGCACTGATTTTTCAGCCCATAAGCAGCCTTCAGTGCTTTTTGTGCCCCCTCAAACTGGCAAAGAAATACCTGTGTTGATATTACTGAAGGGAGTACTTTAAAAATACAACTGACAATCAAATCCTAGAAAGAACATATAGGCTGCAGCAGGGCTGCAGACTCCTCCTCAGTTCCACTGTCCATTTAGGTCTCTCTTAATTGTAATTAATTCCTACCTCTTTACCTAGGAGAGGCAGAAACTGTTCATCCACCCCACTGCAAGTTTGCAAACCAAAATGTTCTTCTGTTCCTTTTGCATTAATAACCAGGATCTTTATGCACAGCTTTATTAAGCTCTGATTACCAACTAGAGAAAAATTCCAGAGAAGTACAGGACCAGCAAAAATTAAATTTCTTTCACTGCTATTTACCACACAAGTAGTATGTGCACTGGCTTCATCGCAATGTCACCTTGTCCGTCAAATGTTATTACTGCACACAAGTCATTATGTTTTGGAATAATTCTGCTCTCCCTCTGCTGAACATACCAACCATTTAGACCAGAAAACCTGTTACAACTGGATTTCTTCCACCAACGTTTCAGTATGCTTGCCCACATGGCAAGGCTGAAGCAGACTAATTTCATCTGCTTCAAACCAGGTTTTGGCTAGTTGTTTTGTTTTGCTTGAAATGTTTTCCTGTTATGACCTAAACAGGCTTTGCCTGGTTTTCACAAACTCTAAACATTGTCTATCGCTTCAGGTTAAAACCAGATTCAGAAGAACTTAGTTCACAATAGCCCAGAAGAACAAATCACAAATCTGAGCATCTATCTGAACATTTCTAACACCTCCTTAACCAGTGCAAATGCCACATAGCAAAGGTGAAAGATTGTTCTGAACCATCTGGTCTGTGCTTTAAAAACACCAATCTCTTAAAAAAAGTATTTTAGCAAGATTCTAAAGTCTCCAGCAGCTTCTCCACCAAATAAGCCCTAGAAACATTGAGGAGTTCTTCTCTACTATCATGACACCATAACATTTCCTTGTTTATTACACTCCACCCCCCCCTCCTCCCAACGCTGTAGCATCTCACTCCATGTGCCATAACAAGGCTTTACTCATGCCAGTAGCAGTATCTTCATTTGCCAACAAGGCCTCCTCATGCATTTCAGACCTCACTTCATGCACCGTACCTTGCTGGGATGGATCCCCACGTGGACAGTTGTGCCATTAGCCTTCTCACGTTGCACACGTTCAATGTAGATGACATATTTTTTTCTGTACACCTGGACCACCTTGCCGATCTGCTGTCCTTTGTAGTGTCCCCGGACAACCTAAACACAAACATAAGTAGTACACTGTCCCATACTTCAAAACCACCCCTTAAACAATTAACAGATCTTAAGAAACGCTAATTATCCCAACAGAAAACCAGAACTCCACAGGTTGAAATCCCAACTCTGCTCTTTGTATACACATGCCACAAACATATCAATTACTGGACAATTTCAGCAATCAATAAAAAGGAAAATACAATGGATCGGAACCATACTTCTCCCGCATTTTCCCTGCAATAAACCCTAATGGAGGAACTCTGTATTTTTTCAACCAGAAGGCTAATAGTCAACTTAAACAGTTTTTCACCTTTGTTTTTCACCCATCATTGCATTTTATATTAAAAAAAGCCACTTAACTTGGATTCATTTCTAAACTGATTTTTCAAGTATCACAGGTAGCAAATAGTCTATAAAAAAAGAAAAGAAACACTTTTTTGTTTTGTGCTTTATTGTTAAAAGCCTTTAATCCAGCGTGATACTCAATACATGTAACTAAAGTGCAGTAAGGCTGCCAGCACACTTGTGTTCCTTTTATTTTCCTTGTCACTGATGTGATCTCAACAAACACTCAACAGGCCAAGTCTATGACTACATTAACTTGCATTATTTCTGCAAGACTCATGGCAGAGCTCCAGCACAAATGTAAATTTGTCTAGTCCTTCCCTTTTGCACAGCCTGTACATGAAAACTAAAACACAGATGGAAGCTCATGTGTGACAGTACAACTTATAAGACCGACAGCACAGCTACCTGGACTTCATCATCCTTTCGGATGGGCATAGAGCGGACATTGTATTTCTGCCGCAACTCCTTGGAGAGCGGGGAGGACATTATTTTTCTTCGAATGTGAGAAGGCGCATTGAAGTGTCGTTTACGGTTCTTGCTGCGGTCTGAGGTCACAAATGGATTGAACTTCATTTTGGCTGTGTAAAGAAAACAAGAGTTTGAGAGATGCTTGTAACTCATCCACACTACTCTATCATCTACCCACAGAAAGTATGCTAGGACATAAAAAAGCAATTTTAACTATTTTTAATCTTATCTCCAGTGAACATACCCTTATAAAGTGGACTTCAAATAAGGTTCAAGCCTCTTCCCTGATGGACAATAGCCCTATGATTGACAGGTGTGCTACACACACGCACATCAGACCATTCTTTCTAATCCAAAGCTTGCTGTTCTCAGAAGTCAGGACACCTGATTAACTAGTCTTAATTTTGCACGGTAGTATACACCACCTTCATTTATAAAGCGAACATGTATTTTGGACTCGCAGATAGAAGGAACTCATACTGCTTAGGGATCTCCAATAATGCACACCACCAGACTGGTGCACGTAACAGATTTGTAAATCCAAGATACTTTTGGCCTTCCCTAAACCTTAACAACTGCACTCTAAGATTGACTGTTATGGCACAATTCATCCTGACTGACAAAGGCACGTCCGTTAAATGACGCTTTTGCTCAACTCTGCAACTTTCAAGTATTACGCACTTGCACCTCCTGCACATGCCAGCCTGGGCTGTGCGGAAGCCAGGGTGTGCTGCAAATCAGAAGATCATACGCTGCCTGAGCTGTATTAACCGAATAATCCACTATGGAAGAACAGACCAAAGGAGCGCAAGCTCTCTCCGGAGTCCGAGCTCCCAACAGCACACCCGAAGGCAGCTCCGGAGCAGGCCTGCCCCACCGGACACCCCTGCAGCCAGACTCCCGGGCCGGTAGCTCACCCGCCGCCTCTGCCCGAGACACGAACGCCAGCAGCGCCCTCGGGGCACACCCGTCTCGGGGACGGCGAGCCCGGGCCAACCCCGCTCCCCTCTCCAAGCAGCGAGCTGCCCCTTCCCGCGCCGAGAGGGCCTGGCCGGCGGCACCCCGCAGCCTCGGGCGCGGCGGCGCCAGCAGAGCCCGAGGCGACCAAACCCCCTCCCGCTTCCCCGAACACGCCCCGCCGCGCCGCGACAAGCGGGGGGGGGCCAGCGCGGGGCCGCCTCACGCAGGATGGCGACGGATGGCGACAGGCCGGGCCGCGCCGCCCTTACCCCTCTGCTGCCGCCGCGACGGTCGCCCGGAAAGAGGAGGGGGACGCGCTTCCGCTTCCCCAAGCGGCCGCCGGGCTCTCGCGAGATCCTCCGCGAGGAGCTGGGGCCGCCCAGCGCCCCCTGGCGGCCGGCGGCC